CCATATGTGCTAATTTTGTTTATGCATTCATCTATCAATGGACACTTGGGTTGCTTCCACCATTTGGTTATTGTGAATATGTTGCTATAACCATGGGTCATACTATCTGTTGAATTTCTCCTTTCACTTCTTTTGGGTGTATACCCAGAACTGGACTTGCTGGGTCACATGGTAATTCCATTTTTAATATTTTGAGAATTGCCATACAAGTTTCTACAATAGCTGTACCATTTTGCATTCCTACCAGCAATGCACAAACTTTTCAATTTCTCCACATCCTTGCCAACACTTGCTATTTTGGGTTTTTTTGTTTGTTGGTTTTTTTCAGAAAAGTCTTCATATCCTAATGGATACAAAGTGATATCTTATCATGGTTTTGATTTGCATTTCCCTAATGATTAGTGATGCTGCACATCTTTTCATGTGCTTGTTGGCCATTTATATACCTTCTTTGGACAATTGATTTTTGTATATTGACATTATATCCCATGACTCTACTAAACTCACATATTCAAGTAGGTGTTCAAGTAGATACTTAATGACTTTCTATGTACACAATCAAGCTGTTTACAAATGCAGACAGCTTTAGTACTTTTGTTCTAGTCATTATGCCTTTTATTTTTTATATTAACAGCCTTTCATTTTAAAGCAGTTTTAGGGGGCGCCTGGGTGGCTCAGTCGGTTGGGCGGCCGACTTCGGCTCGGGTCACGATCTCACAGTCCGTGAGTTCGAGCCCCGTGTCGGGCTCTGTGCTGACTGCTCAGAGCCTGGAGCCTGTTTCGGATTCTGTGTCTCCCTCTCTCTCTGACCCTCCCCCTTTCATGCTCTGTCTCTGTCTCAAAAATAAATAAACGTTAAAAAAAAAAATTTAAAGCAGTTTTAGGTTTATGGAAAAATTGAGCAGAAAATAGAGGTCCCATGGGCTCCCTGCTCCTCATCCTGCTGCACACAGTTTAGCTTATTATTAACATCTTGCATTAGCGTGGTACATTTATTACAATTGACAAACCAGTATTGCTGCATTATTATTAATTAAAGCCCATGGTTTACATCAGAGCTCACTTTGTGTTTTGTAGTTCTCTGGTTTTTGACAAATACATAATTTCATGTATCTGCATTTATAGTATCATACAGAATAAAATGCTCCTATGGTTTCACCTGTTCATCCCTCATTCCCTCCACCAGACACCTGCCAACCATTTACTGTCTCCATAGTTTGCCTTTTCCAGAATGTCATATAGTTGGAATCATGCAATATGTTACCTTTTCAGATTTAAGTTCAAAATTCCTCCATGTCTTTCTGTGGCTTGACAGCTTGTTTCTTCACTAAATATTCCATTGTGGTATGGATGTACCGCAGTAAGTTTATCAGTTACCCATTGGAAAGTCTTCTTGGTTGCCTTCAACTTTTGACAATTGTGAATACAACTGCTATAAACATTCATATGCAGATTTTTGTGTAGACATAAGTGTTCAACTCACTTGAGTAAATACAAAGAAGCTGAATTGCTGGATCATATAGGGAGACTATGTTTGGTTCTGTATTAAACCACCAAACTGTCCTCCAGAGTGGGTGTGCCATTTAGCATTCCCACCAGCATTGAATAAGCATTCCTGTTGCTCCACATCTTAGCCAGCATTTGGTGTTGTCAGTGTTTTGGATTTTTGACTTCCTAATAGATGTGTAGGGTTATTTCATTATTGTTTTAATTTTCAATTCTTTAATAATGTATTATGTTGAATATATTTTCATATGCTAGTTTGCCATCCGTACCTCTTTTCTGGTGAAGTGTCTGCTTGGTCTTTTCTTCATTTTTAATGAGTTGTTCATTTTCTTATTATTAAGTTTTCAGGGTTATTTGTACATTTTAGATAACAAATCTTTATCAACTGTCTTTTGCAAACATTTTCTTCCAGTTTGTGGTTTCTTTTCTTATGTCTCATAACCACCGTCTTTTGCAGAACAGAAGCTTTTATTTTAATGAGGTCCAGCTTATCAATTCTTTCACGGCTCTCGGAGTATTATACTTCTGTGATCCATTTTGAGTTAATTTTGTAAAAAGTGTAAGGTCTGTGTCTAGCTTCACCTTTTTTGCATGTGGATGTTGTTTTTTAACATCATTCATTGAAAAAAAACCTTTCCATTGGATTGCCTTTGCTCCATTTTCAAAGTTCAGTTGACTATATTTGTGTGAGTCTATTTCTGGGCTCTCTCTTCTGTTCCATTGATCTATTCTTTCAACAATACTGCACTATCTTAATTACTGTATCTGTACTGCAAATCTTGTAATTGCACAGCGCCATCTCATTTTGGGTTTGCCATGTGGGACAGAGAGAAGCAGAAGACAAGGCAGGATGGAGGCCCTGAATGGTAGAATCAGAACTGAGATTGGAGAGGTATCAGGTGAGGGGCTTGAGAGCATGGGGTGAGCATCCTGGGAGCAAGAATGAAATGCCATCTGGGAATCCTTTTTCAGAGCTGCAAGGGACCAGTACGAGATGGGCCCTTACTTGCTGAACTATCTTCTTAGGGGCCTAGTATGCTGGGCCAGTCTGAAGGTCAGTTTATTTCTTTGTTGATCAGGCACAGGGCAATATCTCTTGGGGACACAATGTCACTTGGGGAAAGAGCAAGAATGGGGATACAAAGTCCCCCAGAGTGTGCTCAGGACCACTCCTGCCCCAAGGCTACAAGCGTCTCCCCCTCCCCCCCATCCCTACTTCTAGTGTTTCAGTGTATTCTCAGGGAGAGTTCCTTCTCCAGCTCAATTCTCAATGATGATGGGGAAGAGAAGGGAAGTTCTGTGATGTTCTGTGAGGGTTTGAGAGGTCTGACTCTGAAAGCCCCACCTACAGCCTCACCTCTGCTGAGGAGCTCTGGGTGTCTCCACCAATCCAGGCCGACTCTAGCCACAGACCTGGCTGCTAAAGGAGATCCTCTCTGTGGATTCCCATCCTATGTCTCATTGATTTCTTCTGCCTCAGGCTGTCTGTTGCCCAACACCCACAGGTCCAGACACCTCCGGTTCTCAAGACCCCCGGCCATTAGAGGGACACCCAAGGTGGTAGTTTAGACCTTGGATGAAGCTTGGCCTTCTTGGGCTGGTCCCTGAGTCTCTACTGCTCACACAGGAATGGTGCCATATTCCTGGGGTCCTGTCTCTGGGGATAAGAGGCCCCACGTATTTCCCCTCCAACAGCCTCTCCCCATCCCAGCCCCAGCTACCTGTGTTTTCTTGCTTCCAAGAATTTTCCACCAAAAGAGCTCTCCCTCTGAATCCCTGTTTTACTTTGCATTCTTAGCTCATCGCAGAGTGGAAAGCCTTAATTACCTTGAGCCTGGCGAGCAGTTTGGAATTCTGCATCACCATCCCCAGGTAGGACCACATGGGCCTAGTGGGCTATATTACCTGAGCTGGGAAGGGCTTAACTCAACGGTTTTCAAATCATGGTTGCACATTGAATTCCAATGTCCAGGCCTCTCCACGGACCAGTAAAAGTAGGATCTCTGGATGTGCCCAGGCATTGGTATGTTTTGTGTCCTAGGGGATTCCAATGAAACATAGGTTGAGAATCAGAGAAGTAAAGCCTTGCCAGCCTGGGTTTTAACCATCTCTCGCTGCAGGGGTGGTGCCTACAGAGATAGTCATGCAGAATTCTGCCATATTCAGCATGCAGACCTAGCGAGTCTCCTACCTCTCACGCCAGCGAGGCAGGCAGATGAGAGCTGTGTCCAGAGCTCCTGGAGGGGTTCCTTTGGAAGAGCAAGCTATGGCTGCATCACTGCCACCTGCAGCTACTGGAGGCAATGGGTGTCAGACTGATCCCTGAATCCCCGTCTCTGCCATAGCTGTTCTGGAAACACCCTCCCCTGAGCCCCACACGCACGCACGCACACCCCTGAGGAGAGGGGAAGCCTTACCCAGATGCAAGGCCCCTGAAGACCTCTGATTTCTGTATACTTCCTCCCACCCCTCAGGCAAGGCCACCCATTGCAGACACCTGGGGAGGGTCATGAGCCTCAGGCTTCTGGGAGGCAGGTTCAGAGACAAATATCTGAGGGACCTTGAGCATCCAAGCAGAGGCTGTGAGAGACAGAGACAGAGGGCTGAGCCTGGGTGCTGAGAGTTAGCAAGAAATTCAGCCAGCACAGGCCATCAGCTCCTGAGACAGGCCCTGCAGGGGGCGTGGCCATCTGTGGGAGGGTTGGGGCAAATACAGTGGATCTTGGGGGGAGGCCAGAAGAGCTGCTTCTGAAGATGTGGTAAGATTTAGAGGTCATATCCCTAAACCAATGACTTCCAGTGGCATAGGGACAGTCCTTGTCTACCCTTGGACTCCCTCTGCTTGTTTCCTCAGCCCTACCTCCCTGGGCTCTCTCTCCCCTCCCCCACAGTGCCTGGTTTTCCCAGGAAGTGGCCAGCAGAGGGGAGGGAAACCTTGTCTCTCAACCCCTGGTGGTGGAAGCGGCAGGCACAGCTGCTGCTCCTGGGCTCCTGTCCTGGTCTTCCCCAGAGGCTAGTTCTGGCTGACTATCCCCCAGTGAGGCACAGCTCCTGTCCTGCTGTTGCTCAGCTGGGTGCCCTGTCTTCCTGGCTCCCTGTCAAACACTGCATTGGCCCTGAGGACCCTGCCTAGCATAGGCCTGTGGAATCCTGGTCTTCCCAGCTGGCTCTGGCTGCAGCCTGACTCTCTGGTGTCCTATCTTGAATGGAGATGCCTGGGGAGGGGCTGCAGAAAAATAAAGCCCAATGCCTAACCCTGCTTGTGGAGAGAGCTGGGGTCAGGCTGGCTGAGGTGTCAGAGCCTGTCCTGGGTCCTGGGGTCTCTTCTGGGTACAGGATGGGTCAGATTTGCATTAAGAGTAAGGGTCTAGAGTGGGGTACCCTGGGATGGGCTGATCCCTCTTTCATGGCTCTAATTTCCAAAGAGCAAGAGTATGCTCAGTTAAGTGTCTTTATTGGAAGAGAGATCCAGTCTCCTTGGCTCTACTAGTGCCCTAGGTCAAGAGAATTTCGATGTCAAGTTCCAGCCGGCTGGCTTTGACCTCATAGCGGCCCCGGATCAGACCCCGGGTTTGACTGGTATGCCAGCGCCAGTGAGACTGGATGATGCAGGCCGCTTGGCGTGCCTGAAGAAATCGTCTGTGAGCCCGCCACATCCGAACCTGTGCCTGCACTTTCACCACTGCCCACTCCTGGCAGGTGTAGAGTCTTAGTGCCAGGCGCCGTCTCTGCTCCAGCATCTTGGCCTGCATCGACCTCCACCAGCACTGGATGACCCAGGCCCTGAGTGCTGTGTGCAGTAACGTCCGGCGCACCATGTTGCCACGCCACCATGACTGAATCTTTACGGCTGCGTTCTCTAACTGATCAGGGGAGGGAAGAACACGGAGATGCTCATTGGGGTACCCTCCCATTTCTGTCCCCATCTGTGGTGCTGGGTAGAAAGGGGGCCTGGCACAGGTGGCCCTGCCCTCCCATTTCCAGGCCCATTCATCGTATTTCCAGTCCCCCACTCATCAGTAGTCACTGCTTATTATCTGTCAGGCAGACCCTTTCCGTGTGGGTGTTACTCACATTTTGTGTGTCCATGGCCCTGGTCTTCAAAGTCCACTCATTTATCAGGCCACCCTAGTCTTTAGCCCCGCCCTCAACTGTTAGTCACCCCCCCCCCC